TGAATTATTTAGTCTCTTCTAACAGCATCACATCTATAAAACAGATAGCAGTGCAGATCGACATGCAGAGATCCATCTAATAAGTTACATGGTCTCCTCCTGCTCTATTACTAGGTTACCTTCCTTCATTTACCAGGACTATAATTTTCCCTATCCTCAGAGTTAACATATGACATAATTATTGTGCTCACTGCTGAATCTTTCATGTTGGCATGTTTTTAAATTTTTATCAAATAATATGTATTCCACAATAAATACTGGCCATAAATATTGAAATACTGTCTTAAATGTAGGGAGCTTTCAAGAAGGCAGGAGAAACAGATGTGGACAGATGGTGTGATGCTAGAGACATTTGCAGACATGCCAGTCATTTTTACTCAGGAGCAAGATAATTTATCAGGGAGGCAGTGCTTAGCTGTATCATCCACTTAGTTGGAAGAGATGTTTTTCTTAGTTTTCTCCCTTTTTTATAGCATTCTCAGTCCATCTGCAATTTTATTTTCACAATATATCCTAGATCCCACTGTGCTTCCTCTAGTCTGCCATAATAATCTCTTATTGAACTACAAGGGCTAACTAGCTACTATTTCCCCTTCTCTCTTTTGCTTCTTTATAATTTATTTCTCACCTATCACCCATATTTTTAAAGAAAACAATAAATTAGACATGTGATTTTTCTTTTTTGTTTTTCATTGCAATTAGAAAAAATCCAAACTATAAGGTTTTAATAATAAGCCCTCTGTTCAGTCATATATAATACTAGGTATAATAGCTTTCTTTCTACTTATTCAGATGCTTTTAAAGACCTCATGATAAAAGAAAAGATCTTAGATTATTTAGGAGGGATCAATCTATCCATTTTCATCCTCAAAGAAGAAGGTATTTTCTTCAGGCTGTGGCAGCAAGATCATATATGAGAAATGCCATGTTGCTAGCTTGAAGAGGAAGAGCTCATGAGACAAGAAGTAGAGAGGGCCTCTTAAAGCTCAAATCAAGGAAACAAATTCTCTCCTAGAGTATTTTTTAAAGGCCTGATGACACTGTTTTTCACTTGGTAAAAGCCATGCTAGATTTCTGGTGTACAGAACTATGAGAAAATACATTTTGTTTTAAGTCACAAAGCCAGTAATAATTTTTATGGCAACAATAGAAGGCTAAATGCATCACTCCAGGCTATTCACATTTATTGTTTCTTTTGCTCAGAAGACTTTTTTATTTCAGTTCTACAGTGACAAATAGTCTCTTAAATTTTACATTTCAGCTTTACTATTACTTCTTTAAATTAGTGTTTTCTTCCTGCCACTAACTCGAAAGCAACAGATGGCTTGTTTTTCATTTTGAAGTTTCCTTATTTATTTATTGCTGTTTATCTACTCAAGTTTTAAACTTCTTTTTTTTTAATCAGGGAACTTGCCTGTGTCAGCCACAGGGACATCATTAGTATCCTAAGGAGAGAGGGAAGATAAATAACACTCAGCAGATATTTATGTGAGGAAAGGGAGGTGGTTATTTCAGCCAAAGGTCCCAGTCTGAGTAAAACTGTGAAGCTGCTTTAACATAGCTGGGGGAAAAATCTATTCTCTATAGATGAGATAAGAGAAAAGAAAAATGAGATGGGAGTCAAATAGTAGGCATCTATTATTTTAAATATATCATTTTTTGTGGTTTATTGGATCAATCACTGGGACTCTCATGTATACCTCATACTTAGCCAGAAAATTCTCTACTACTCAGCTGTATCCCTAGTCCCAATCATCCAATGACAAGTATTTGGAATTTATTTTTTATCTGAAAGGCAAGTGTAGCAATTGAGTTGGTGACCAATTAAATGTGGGTGAAGAGAGAAGGAGGAGTCTCATCTCATGTTTCTCAAGAGGAGAGATTAGAGACTAGGAGCCTGATGGTAGTGGTAATTGGCATAAAGAACAATGGGACCTGAGTCCAATGGACCTGTCAAAGGAAGATGTTCAAAGTAGGCCCTTTAAAATAGAGATGTGCAAGTTCAAAAGGGGAGTTTTGACTAAAGTCATTAAGCTATAGATAGAATAAGGCAATGGAATCCAATAGTGAATATAGCACAGAATAATGGGCAAAAAAAATGGGGAGTGAGGGAAGTCAGATGGTACCACAAATAGGACACCAGAGAGCATGGTTAACTTTCTGAAAGGAATTAGCAAAGGAGGTTTGATGAGTGCGGGTCACAGAGGGTGATTTGGGGCCTGGGAAGCCATAGGATGAAAGGGTCTCGGTAAGAAGAAGAAAATAGAATATCAGACCATATGGAAGGGAAAGGAAGGTTTTTGCTGATTGCTCTGAATGTGGAATTTATAGTACAAGGAAGGTGGGAGAGGGGGGAGCGGGGTGGGGTGTGGTTGTGGAGCTGGGAGGGAAGGCACGGTAGGTGGAAAACAAAGGAGAAGGCAACAATGTCCCATAGGAAATGCACTCATTACCTTACTCATGTAACTGTGACCTCTCTGTACAACATTTTTACAATTAAAAAATGTACAAAAAGAAATAGTATCATCCTATGCCATCACATCTGCTGAATGCGCACACCTGGCAAGCACTTGTGTACATTTTCATTTTCTTAGTTTATAATGCAGGATCCTAAAATCAAACTTGGAATAAAAGCTCAAGATGGGAAGTATTTCACTACTCCTGACTTGTTTGCCAAAGATTTCAAAAGCTCAATGAGGAAGGGCAATAGAGATGCTAAAATATCTAAGATTTAATTCAAGCATTTTCTGTGGCCTTATCATACCACAGACTCCTGTTAAAATGAGAAGATATGATAGGAGAGAACTAGGAGAACTGCATTTCTTTTTTCCTTCTTGCTTTTCTTTTCTTCCTTTCTTTTTTTTTGTTGTTGGTCATGGGGCCCGAACTTTGGGCCTGGGTGCTGTCCCTCAGCTCTTCAGCTCAAGGCTCGAGCTCTACCTGGAGCCACAGCACCACCTCTGGCCTATTCTGCTTCTATGGTGTTGAGGAATCAAACCCAAGGCTTCATGCATGTGAGGCAAGCACTCTACCACTGAGCCACCTTCCCAACCCGAGAACTGCATTTTAATCTTCTCCAGATAAACCGTATTTAAATTAAGTCTAGAATAACTGTATTAGTAGACTCATAGTAACTGTTACAATAGTTGATTGTTAGATGATGGTCCAAGCATGCCCTGAGGGTTGTGTATGCTGACTGAGCTACAAATCTGCAGTCTTACCTTATCCTCCTCTGCACCTCCAGCGTGGAAATAGTTTCCAAATTGCAGATTCTATTAATATCTGTTATCTTTTTACATATGTAGAGATTCCTCACAAAATGCTTGAACATTGTGTTAACCTCTTGGTAGGTGGTGATGCTGGGTATCTAAAGTAGTGTTATAGTAAAAGAGAACTGAAAAATTCATATACTCACTATTGTTTTCCTGAATTCATTTATTGTACCAATACTCGCTTTGAATATTGAACAAGATGGAAATCATGTCCTGGCCTTCCTCAGATATGTACAAGCCAGCAGTCAATTGATTTTTTTCAGTCCTTATACTGCCCATTCATTTAGTGGGAATAAGGCAGCCCTGTGAACATCAGTGTGGTGGTGAGAAAAGTCACTGAAATGAGACATATTTCAGTGACAACTTATAGTTTATGATACAGGGTTAGAAAGTTAAAAATGCTCAGATAGTTGAACACTTCCCTGAACACTTCTCAAGGGACTTTAGCTGCAAATCTAAAACTTAAAGTCTTTCATTCTAATAAGTAATGCCTTACTTAAACGATTTTCACTTTTAAGTTCCTTTTGTCTAAACTCCCAGTGATCTTGATATTGTGGTTTATATTTCTTAGTTTCAGGTAAATTAATTTTCTCAGCATCTCCATTTATTCCTTAAAGATTATGGTCTTGCTTTTTTATTTCTTTGTGCTATCCTTTCTCTCTAGTATGTAGAGTAGTGCAAGGTACCTGATCAGTGCTAAATAATTATGAACTGTCCAGTCACCCTTGCTGTATAGACAGACAATCCATTCTGATTCTAGAGGATGAAAGGTAATCAATATAATAAATTATTTTGGATGCACTGAGCTCATTAAAGAGCTTGACAAACATAACTATGGCATAAAGTTTGTGAGTATTTCTCCTAAAGGCATTCACAACTGGGACTTTCACATCCCCTGTAGGGTTAATAACACCACAACCTCTATTTTTATGTAGCTCTTTGCAATTTGGAGCTTAGTTAATAGTATATTACTCATTTTAGTGTCACCAAAACCCATACACTAGTCACAGCAAAGCCCTTTTTTAAACAAGAAAATTGGAGTGCACAGAGATAAAGCACTATGTGTATATTTACAAAATTGGTGAGTGGCAGATCTAGGGTTGAACAGAACCTTTGTGCATCCAAGTGCAGTGTGCTTATTTCTCTACATATAAAACTCTCTGGGCCCAAAGGAATCTGTAGATATGGTCCCTTAGCAGGGATGTGGAAAGAAATACCAAAAGTTCTTTTTCTTACTATAGTTCTCACCTGGATTGTTACCTGGTCTCCTCAGTCTCCTCCAGTGTATGGAGGAAAAAAAGAACAACCTGAGAAGTGAGACCAGAATCCTTTCTTTGTGATCAAAAGAAAGGGTTAAAATGTGACCCTTCAAGGGATTAAGATGGAGAAGAGAGTCCTGAATTAACCTAAATGCCAAAAACTAGGCTAAAAGGCTGCATTTCCTTCCTAATGTCTTTTCCTAAACTGAATGGTGGAAAAGTTAAGGGGTGTGTGTCTGGGGGAAGGGTTAGGGAGGGGAGAATAGGACTCTCCCTCTAACAGAATTTCTTTTTTAAAAAAATGAAAAGAAAGTGAAATAAAAGTTTGTGTCTGTTTTTAAGCTCTATCTACGCTTGAAACATACATGACATAGGGAAAGTTCAAGGCACAGAGACTCGTGTTCTGATTTGGTTGTTTACCATCAATCAGACTGTTGCTTGGCAGACACTGGATGGTTATGAGCCTGAACAAGCTGAAAGGGGCAGGAAAAGAAGTGGAGGCAGCATTCTTCCTATTTAAAGCTGCATCGCTTGAAAAAAGTTTCCGCAGACTGTGGTGGAGCTGGTGCTGAAAAGGGGGCTTTGCAGAGGCTGCCCTGGGGCTGGTGCTGAAAGAGGAACCCCCAGCTGACTTCATGGTGCTACAATAACCTTAGAATCTACTTTTCACTCCCAGGAGGAGCCACATGTCTAATATTTAGATATGATGGCAAACTGGGTGGAAGCAAGACCTCTCCTCATTCTCACTGTTTTATTAGGGCAATCTGTCTCAATAACAGCCCAGGAAGAAGGCGACAATGGTGAGTTTGCCTCCCCCCCCCCTTTTTTCTTTTTCTTTTTTTCTTTGCTTCTGGTGTTTACTGTACGGTTTGGGTACTAGGTGGAATGTTAAGTTTCAGGAAGAGCGTGAAGAGGAGGCTCTGGTTTGAAGTTTGAGAAGGGGCTGTCGGATTTGCACCTGGGAAATGGCTCCTTAACACACCCGGGCTGTTCGCAAATCCTGAGATTCTACATCTGGGCTTGAGAGCTACTTTCTGGGAAAGTGGAACATCCGTACTTGCCTGAATGTGAGAGTGGGAAGTTGAAAAGTAAAGAGGACTGCTTAAAACGGAGCCCTAAAGGCACTTTTAATTAGATGAGGTCTGCTCTGTGGGCTGGAGCTTTCAGAGCAAGGAAAGTCTGCAGAAGCTGGCTTAGGGTGGGGTCTTTCTTGTGCGGGAACTTCAGCTGCTTCATAAAATTCTTTGTTTAGCAAAACTTCTACAGCCCCTCTGATAGCTCTGATTTTTCTTTGTCTCTGGGTCCTCTTTCTTGTCTCATCTCAGACTTTAACTATTGTTTCTTTTACCGTTTTCTTTGGCAATGTTTTGCTTACTGAGAAGGAGTCAAGTTTATTTCTCCATGACAGAGGCTGATGGAAGCCAGATTTCTTAAACATTGGTATTTTCCCACCCTGCTGACTTGATTATCAGGACAGTGGTGGTTCCTGGTTGGGTGGAGGGGGATGTAACTTTTTCAGCATGAAGTATTTTAATGGGCATTTCCCCTTAGACACAAGGATTTTTTTGTCTTCCCATTTTTTTAAGACAAATCTTGCCTAGTTTCTGAATTTTTATTCCATGTAATTTGCATAGTTTAGTGAGCTATATGATTAAGTATAACTGCATAGCTGCAATAGGTGAACCATTTGAATTGACTTCACTGATTTTAAATCCTTACTCTTGAGGGTTGGAATTTCAAATACAGACTGCTGCTCTTTACTAATAAACCATTATAGATATTTTTGTAACAAACCTTTAAAGTGTAGCACATTCACCAACTTTTATTGTCTTCCATATCTCTTTATCTATACATACATATATGCATATTTAACCCAGTCTTTGTATTTTTTCAATGAAGATATTTGTAAGATGAATCTGAGACCATAACTTCTAAAAACTTTTAAAGGGTGAAAATAAGAATCTGGAGATGAATGCTTAAGAATCTTCAGGAGTCCCATAGAGGGAGCACTTTCTAAAATCTTGCAACTTTTTGTTATTTTTTGGTTTTTAGAAAATGAGACAATTTATAAGAGGCAAAGTCTCTTGAGTTTCCTTATAATGGCATGGAAAGTAGGTATTGTTTGAAAAGTGGGGAAGATAATGGACCAGGAATTAGAAGTTAGGAAAAAGGTGAACAATGACAGACAATTATAATACAGAGAATTTACATTCCTCCCCTATTCACAGTGCCAACTTTAAAACTTTCAATACCACTTTTCTCAATTTATAACTGATGACTTAAATTTTTAAACTAGGGAAATAATTGGATTATATTAATAAGTTAAAGAAATATTTCAAAAGGTTTATAGGATAGGCCATATATTGGGATTTTTAAAAAATGACTCTATTATAATCTAGATATTTCTGAAAAAACAAGAAGAGTTTACTTTTCTTTGATATTGACTTATATAAACATCAGGAATGGGATGTTGTATTCTCCATCTCTGAACAAGCCCTTCTCCCCCAGGATATTAAGCAGCACAGAAGCCAGAATCCCATACTTCAGGTTTTTGAAAATATAATTTCCTGCACAAGTATTATAAATAATAAATTTCTCAACAAATTCATCTATATAAGAGAATGTATGTGATAAAAATTCAATAGCAATAAGACTTTATGGCCTAAATTAAGGATAATACAATCAAGAATTCCAGATATTTAGTGCATCCAGAGCTTTCTAACTTATAGTCTACTTACTTACTTCTGGTTTACATTCATATTGCATGGAAACTTGGAATACTTTATTATCCCTGCTCTGGAATATCACAAGCTCAAAGAAGTGTTTGAATTGAGAAATCCTATGTGGTTTGGTATTTGAGAAAAGTAAACTAGATAGATGCTTTAAAGTAAAGAAATAGCTAAGGTACAAATGCCAAGCAAGTATTTTTTTTTAAAGCTATAACTCACAGACTGTAATGTTTCCTTTGTGTGCAAAAATGTTCCTTTGAAAATGTAGAAACCTGTCATTGTATGTAATGTATATTATGTTTTTCCTTTTTATGACTTCAATGTATATTTTCCTTTCTTTTGACTGTGATTTTATCTGAAATGCAAAACATAAGCTTGGTCCCTGTATGAATGATAAAAGTAAGTAAAGTTTCTGGCATTTGGTGCCAAAACAATACTACTTTCCATTGAATGTTCAGAAGTAATTATTATTTATTTAATTTTTTAGTTAATGAGAAACTGAAAAGAGAAAGTAAGGAAATTATGTTTCATTTTAGTTGAACCTAGAAAAAAAACAGGGATTCAAGATGACATAATCACATTGTAAGGCATCTCTCTCTCTCTCTCTTTCCTTCTGTGGTGTGGTGTGGTGTGGTGTGGTGTGGTGTGGTGTGGTGTGGTGTGTGTGTGTGTGTGTGTGTGTGTGTGTGTGTGTTACAGGTTTTGGAAGGGCCCACTTTTGTTTGTTATATGAGAAAGTACTTGACCATTTACAGTAACTTTTATATTCATAAAGTCTAACATCTAATTATACTTGTTATGAGAAATCATACTTAATCTTAGAAAATGATCTTTGGCATGAATTGTATTTGACATCAGATGGACAATGGAAAGAAGGGAAAATGCAACCACGTACTGTAATGTCAGTGTTTCCAGCAGCCAGGCAGGAAACATAAACAAGTAAAGGAAGAGAGCATTTGTACTGGAGATAGTGGGGAATGATGGGACTTGTGGGGACTGAAGATGCCTTTTCACTTTAAGGACACAAACTTATGTTTTCAGAATGTATAGCAAGAGCCAAGTAAAATAGATTTTAGGGCCACATTTGGCTCATGGACCATAAATTTGCAGTACCCACGTTGCAACATGTCACTCTATTCTGGTACCAAGCCAACTTCTGGTTACTAAAAAGGGCTCAGAGTGCATTCTATAATATGGTTTCTTGCATTTTTATGATGTAATATTTGTCATCTATCTTGCTGTAATAAAACAAATTTAAAGAAGCAGATACTTAACACTCAGCACTACTTGGATGCCATCATTTTAAAAGAGACACAGAATGTGAATAACTTATTTATCCATAAATTGTTCTAAAATTGGTACTATTGAAGTAGATACTCTGGATCATGTTGACATATAATTTCTCTTCGCAGATATTTTAATTTAATTCAGGATGCATATAGTTTAAACTAAAAAATCATATGAAAAAACTTTTTCCTTATGCAAAAGATGCTTTTAAGTAGGCAGTAAAATTTGTACATTGGAAGTCATCAAAGACCCCAAATTTGCATTTCGCTACTTCTATCTCTAGGATATGGACTTTGATGTCATAATTTTAGGTAGCTGCTGGAGGCCCCATGCTACATATGCTTTCCATGCACCTTGACACTTCAATTTTTGGGGCACTTTCCCAACTACTATGTAGAATCCTTTTTCATGCTATTACTATACAGGACACATTATTCTAAGTGATCCAAGGCTCAAGTCACTCCCCATAATGATCATAGTCTTAACACTCTTTATTTTCAAACAGACCTTTATGCTTTGTAATTTTAAGTTTATTTATGATTGGCTAGAATTTAGTTTTATGGGTGTACAAATCTTCAAGAGAATATAGGATATTTACCTTTTACTTAGGCAATAGTTGGAATGTATTTTACTCACTGGAGTCTAGAAATGGCTTTGTTGATTTTTCTATACATACATACAATACAAAATGGTAGGCAAATAAGGAAGAACGAATTTTATGTTTGAGATGGTGCTAATTAGAAAACTGGGATCATGAGAACTATGGTGACAAAACGAGATCTTTCTCAATTACTCAGTTGGCTCTGGGTTGAATGATGCTTCATATGCCATTACTTGGCCTATGTGACAAGTAAAGTGTTTGAACATGAAAATTTCAGTCTCATGTTTTTTTCTTTGAGACCACAACACTGAAATAGTTAGATTTTCATATGAAAAATATAATAATATGGATAACAAAATTAAAATTCATTTTAATTAATGTATAATTTTGCACAGATTGTACAAGTGCTATTAGAATCAAATACCATGATATTGTTTGATTTTTTTATTCTCTATAATTATATCCATGGATTTGGAGGGATCATTGACAATAGGACATAAAGTAATACAATTTATAGATAAATGTAAGGTCTTTGAATAAAAGCACAGCTTAAAAATGTTTTGATTCAGAATAGAATTATTAAGAGGATAATGATAATTTAGCTTGTCCTTTAAATTTTTTCCACAACTGTTTTATGCATATTATTATGCATAAATTATATATAAGATTAATGAGCTGACTCATCCTATGTTTAAAAACTGCTGAGTGCCAGTGGCTCACGCCTGTAATACTAGCTACTCAGAAGGCTGAGATCTGAGCAGCTCAGTTCAAAACCAGCCCTGTCAGGAAAGTGCAGTAGACTCATATCTCCAATTAATTAACAAAAAGTTAGAAGTGGAGCTATGGCTTAAGTGATACAGGACTAGCCTTGAGCAAAAAAGCTCAAGGACAGGGCCTAAGCCCTGAGTTCAAGATCCAGGATCGGAAAATATTAAAATCTATTTTTAGAATTTGCATAGGGAGCAATATACATGTTGACAAATTTTGCCTTAAAGATATTAGACTGGCAGCTTCAAAGTTATATCTTATTTTACTGATTTATTTAAAACTAAACCTTTCAAAAGAAACCCAAATATTTCCATTTTATACTGAGTGTAGTGTAAATAAGTAATAGTGAACCAGGGAAATTCCAATGAAGCAATATTTTCCTTATCTACATCTTATCTTTTAGCAAGAAAGCAGA